GCTGGGAGCCAGCAGTCATGGGATAACCTGAAGCTATGCATCCCGGGGTACCGGTTCTAATGCAGACAAGAGTTGGATGTGTTTGAGAAACCTAGACAGAACTTGTTGCCATGGGATCTGCTCAGACAGTCAAGGCCATGTACAACAGAACAAAAGGTTTCTCTGCCCTTCACCATCTTCATAATCACGAGTATGTTGAAGTTCCACTGTTGTGACCACTCTGTTGTGGTTGGATTGCCCTCTACCCTCGGGCACTCATTTTTTGGAACTGTTGTTGATAGGGGCTGTCTAGTCAGTTCCAACTCATAGCAACCCTTATGTAGGGTTTCCAAGGAGCGGCTGGTACGTTTGAATCACCGCCCTTTCGGTGAGCAGTCCAGTGCTGATCCTGTACCATCACACCACACCAGGACTCCTCTTTGAGCACTGTATTGTACAATATTTTGTGGTGATTTCCTAGGTTTTCATTGACTGATTTTTGGCAGTAGAGTCTTCCTCATCTGTCGTAGTCTGGAAGCTTCATTGAAACCTGTCTTATCACAGGTGACCCTGCTGGTGTTTGAAATACTGGTAGCCTAGCTTCTAGCATCATTGCAACTCACAAGTCATCACAGTATGACAAACTGACAGGTGGATGGAGTTTACAAATATCCTTCATGAAATTTTAGACACACAGCACCAATCTGTATGTGGATGTGAGCAAACAGCTCAGGGATTTGGACTACCTACTGCCTCCATCAGTCATAAACGCAGCCCGAGTTTCCTCTTATGTGTTTATGTTGAATTACCCTCCCAGTTCCTACTGAGTTTATTTATTGTCAGCTGAAATTCTCATGGCTTCTTTTGTTCAGGTTGCCATTAAGCCAGGCTGCGCTTGAGCAAGTAACTTCTTTTCCCTTCCAGCACTGGCTTGGATGAGAAAGCCTACAATGAAATGCAATATTGGCACAGTACAGAAACCTGGTGCTCACCTATTGATGGTGGGAGTAGAAATTGTTAACAGTCTTTCTGGAAGGCAGCTGAACACATGATCCAAGTAACATTTTGCTCTTTTTTTGTGTGCATTGGGTAGTCATGAGTCGGAACCAACTAGACCATCACTAACAACTATGACATTTGTAAATTGGAGAATGCCCCAAGGCTAAGAGTGACCATATACTGAACACATTTGGAAGCACAATTTTGACAGAGCAGGAGCTGTTTAATTTTGCGAAGAAAGAACGGGGGAGAAAAACAGTAGTTATCCTTGAACTATTTGAAGAGCTGCCATGTAGAAGAGCAGTATCCTGTATTGTCCCTGAAGACAGACAGACATTTGAAGTCCATGGAAGTCTAACACATGGAACTTTTTACTTAATATAGGGAAGTCGATTTTAACAATTAAAGCTGATGAGAATGGAGAACAACTTGTAGGCAGAGTACTTAAGCAGAACTAAAGGACAGCCCCTTAGTATGCTGTGGGAGGGAAGTTCTGTGTCCAGTGGGAGGTTGGATTAGTTTCTCAAGTCACTTCCAGTTCTGAGGCACATTGTAATTTATTGATTCTGTGGTACATGAAAGTTAAATTAATTATCCCTTGTATAAAACCTGGGAGGAAAACAGAGCTGAGCCTTCTAAAGAAGAGAACTAGAATTAACACACATACACATATACCCTTTCTATTTTGACCACAGTCTGAGGTGAAGGAGCCATCACTGGCTCATCCTGGTGCCTGGCCCACTTCCTGTGTGTGTTTGGGGAGGAAATGTGGCCACTTCTGCTATTGGAGGCCAGGGAAGAAGAGAAGGGGTCAGTATGAGAAAGACTCAGACTTACAGATCACTGCCAGCTTTAAGAATGGCTGTCCTTTCTATGTCCTGGCTGTTAATTGTGGATTAAATTGAATGGATAAAATTTGAGTTCTTAAGTAAGCTTGCGTCTGTTGATTATCTGTCACGTGGCCGAGAAGCCATGAGCGAAGTGGTTTAGTTCTTCCCTGTGTTTTAGCAAACACCCAGAGGTTTAACCCTAGACGAGAGTGCTGCTTGGATGTAGAGCCTGGAACTCCAGCTGGGCTTAGTCAGAGCACTGGAGTGGGTTGACATGTTCGGCAACCCTGTACTCTCCAACAAAGCCCATTAGATTCCTTTGACCTCAGTTCTCTCTGACTCCCTAGCAGCAATGAAGTCCTGAGGCAAACCACGTTCTTAAGAATGAGAGACATAGGCTCTAGTCCTTGATGAGCAGAACTGGAGACCTGGAAAGTCCCAATTTGTGGGTTCCTCACTGGCATTTGTCTTCCTGTTGAAATTAGATTACAGTTTGTACCATCTGGTTGACCATAGGTTACAGTCACTCACATACCAGCAGAGAGGAAGTATTTAAGTTCAGGTGAAAGCTCTCAGAAACTGGCCACTCACTTGGCCTGTTTGGTGAAAGGGAAAGAGCATGGATTATGGAGTTCGCAAACCTAGATTCTTTCTAGGTCATGCTCCTCTTATCAGCTGTGCAGTCAGGGCAGGCCAGGCTCTATGGGCCTCAGTCGCCTGATCTGCAAAATGGAAATAATCATCTGTAACCAGTAGAGATAGACTCGCCAAGTATTGTTTCCTGTCCTTCCTCTTCCTCTGGTCTGGGAAAGTAGCTTCTCTCATAAGTCCCAAGAACTAAATGATAAAAACATCATTTTGTATTTTCATAAAAATTTGTATCATATGATTGGCAAGATTCACAAGGTACTAGTGAATTATTTACTAATTTTAGTTTCTTCAGTTCTAAAATTCTTATAGGTTCTTGTAGTCAGCCTTAAGTTCATCTGTACAAATCAATGATGTTTTGGAAATGGTGTTACTTTTTAAAATTAATTTTAAATAATTTATTGAAAGGGTGAGTTTCTTTTTTTTTTTAATGTGGCTGATAATTTTGATACTAATTTATAGCCCTTAATATTGCTATGGTGGTGCAAGTGTTTGCAATTGATGGCTAACTCGAATTTGGTGACTGGAACCCACCCAGGAATTCCGCAGAAGGCCTGGTAATTTTCTTTCTTAAAGATCACAGCCAAGAAAACCCTGTGGAGCAGTTCTGTTTTGTAGGTAACACATGGGGTTGCTGTGAGTTGGGGACCAACTTGATAGCAGCTAACAAGAAAATATTATCATACTTTGTTCAATGTAAAAGAAAAAAGAAAAAACAAACTTTAATAACATTTCTAAAATTGTGTCTTCTCTAATAAATTTCCAAAGAAACTCACCACCTTTTCTGTTTTTCCTCCAAAAGCTGATCTTAAGTGATGGTCTTCCTTAAATAAATAACAAATCACCTTGGACGGGAGTAAGCCTGTTTCTTTCCACTAACTTTCTTAAGTCTCCATGTGATCAAGAACTGAGCAATAAAGCATCCTTTTCTAATAATCTAGGCAAGGAATGGTTTGAGTGTAGACATATGGTTGTCTGTGATTACTTTGCATTTCTTCCCACTAGATCTTTCTGGTTCCCTTAGAGACAGAGCCCGAGCCTCCTTTCCTGGTCAGTTGTCGGTGGATTGGTTATAGGACTGTTGCTTTGGTAGGAGGACAGTATTGGGGGGGCATTAATGAGGGGACTCCTCCACCTTCTAGAGTCGTTAAACCTGAACAAGAGAAGTAAGGTGGTAATCCCCAGCATCTTATCTCCACAAACTCATAGAAAAGCCAAGTCCCAGGTACTGTAGGGGCAGGGCCTATGTGTAGGACAGGCATTTTTGTAGCCACCTTGTTTGATTGATTACTGTGAACAGCTGGGGCCAGTGCGTCTGACTGTTCATGAGTCTTTTCACCCTCAGCTCACCTGCCAAGTCCTCTGAAGAAGGCACAGTAAGACGTGAGTTTGAATGCCCTTCTAAACCAAAGCTTGGCGGGATGGGTTATGAACACTGCTGTCGCTTCCCTTTCCCAAGAAATTCTCAAGTACAATAAGCCTGTTAGATGGGTAAGCTACAGCTACACCTGGCACAGTTTAACACACAGTCTGATGATGGCGATGGTGGTCACAGGAAAACAAAACCATTTTTATGTCACACTACGAAATTGAGACTGGTGATCTTTTTGTGATGCTATTCTTTTTAGTACGAAGGGGCTCACAGAAGTTCATGGACAAATTCCATTATGTAAAGCCCCCTTGTGTATATGCTGGGACCTTATTTTTAGCATGTTTGATTTAAGATTTGATAGTCACTTCAATCAGTCTTTTTTTGGAGCATATACATACATACTATATGTAATACATTCTTGATGTGTATTCCTACTCCTGGTGTGGCACTGTAGGATAAGCCCTAGACTGCTAACTGTAAGGTTGATAGTTCAAATCCACCAGCCACTCCTTGGAAACCCTATACAGGGCTGCTACAAGTCAGAACCGACTCGCCGGCACTTAGCAACAACAACATAGATAGCAGAATTGCAGCAAGTGATTTACCCATCACAGTGTCAGAGCTACTTTTACAATCTATAAATCCACGTACTACTACAAACATCATGGAAAGATTTTCAGGACATCTCCCTGCCAACACTTCCAATGGCAGGAAGAGAAAACACATACCAGAAAGTTAGCGGTGAATTTTGGAGCATAAACAGGCGATAGCTGGGTTTATGAGCTAGTGCAAAAGCTTTGGTCTCTGGAAGACCTTTATTCTATTAAAAATGCACTATATTAAAATAGTCTGTTTTGTTGGAATAAATAGAACAGCCATCAGAGAGTTTGGTTTCTTCTCATTAACGCCAGTTAAGTTTATGAACATCTTTCAACAAACAGCGAAGCATTGAGCAACATTTTTGGATAGCACTTTGTAAGAGCTTTAGACGTTTTAGGAGATTACAGTGTTTAAAAGAAAGAAGTAACCATATGAATTAGATTCTGTATCTCTCCACTCAATTAAGGGAAACTAAATACCAGTGCCTAAATATGAAAAATGTAAAAGATAAATATGTGAACTACTGAACAGGTTTTTTGTTAAGACACATTTTGTGTGTGTGTTCTTTTCAGACATATGAAGATTCATGAGAAGGACCCTAGCAGTGCCACAGCTGTAGCCCCTCCATCCCCACTGAAGCGCAGGCGGCTGGCCTCCAAGCGGAAACTGAGTCACGATGCTGAGTCTGAGAAAGAAGACCCTGCGCCTGCTAAAAAGGTCCTGTCTGCTCCCGGCATCAACAAGCCTCATCACGAGACTTTTGGCAGAATTTTACCTCTAGTCTGTACTTTCATAGTTTGGGGACTTGGCAAAAATCCACCCTAAACTTTTAACCCATTTTCCCATGCCATTTTGTGAAGTGTTCACAAAAATGAGTATGCGGGTGTGCTTCCTCTTTGGAGCCACCACCCTGAGCCCCATGATGAAGTGAAGAACTTTAAGATTCCCCATGCTCTTTTAAAAATAGCTTCTCTTCTCTGGCTAGAACATAAGCTTCATAGGAGTTAGGATCTTAGTTGTCCACACATTTGTGTCCCCAGTGCCTGGCACATGGTAAACACCAATTACCATCAAGTTGGCACCAATTCTTGACCACCCCATATGCATCAGAATCCAGCTGTGCTCCTTAGCCTTTTCAGTGGCTGTTTTTTTCTTCCAAGGCACCTCTTGGATAGACATCAACTGCCCACCTTTCATTTACCAACTGAGCATGATAACTGGCTTGTGCAGCACATAGTAGTTGCTGAATGGGTGAGTGGATTGAAGGATGATAATGTAGTATTCAGTGAGTGTTTGTTACGTAAGGGAGTGACTGATGAGTAGCATTCCTTACCACCTACAGGGGAAAGCACCCCTCTCCTTCTTGGTAGTGTCTTGATTTAATGCTGGGCTTTCTCCTGAAGCAGACCCACATGGGAACCCTCCCTAGTGACTGTCTTTCCTGACTGACTGTCTTTTCCTTTTCCCTAAGATGGTAGAAGATGGGCAGTTGGGTGACCTCGAGAAGAAAACCGATGAAGTTTTTCATTGCCCAGTGTGTTTCAAGGAGTTTGTTTGCAAGTATGGGCTGGAAACCCACATGGAGACCCATTCAGATAACCCCCTAAGGTAGGAGAATTTCTGTTGCTTCTGTTCTGGTTCATGTGTGATACATTCTTATTTTTCGTTTTCTACACTGGGTTAAAATGATCTAACTTGTGTATGATGCCATCAAACCAAAACCATCCAGTTGATTCTAACCCATGGCAGCCCCGTGTGTGTCAGAGTAGAACTGTGCTCCACTGGCTTTTCAATGACTGGGCTTTTTTGGAAGTAGGTTGCCAGGCCTTTCTTCCAACGCACCTCTGTGTGGATTGGAACTGCCAGCCTTTCAGTTGATGCATTAATATTTTGTACCACCCAGGAACTCTACAGGCGGCTCCGTGGTCAGATTCATGCTTTCCATGTAGGAGACCCAGGTTAGACCCACCTCACGTACAGCACCACCCATCTGTCACTGGAAGGCTTGTGTGGTGCTGTGATGCTGAACGGATTTTGGCAGAGCTTCCAGACTAAGACGGACTAGGAAGAAAGGCTGATGGGCGATTTACTTCCGGAAATGAACCAGTGGAAACCCTGTAGATGACAGTGATTCGATCTGCAGCCATTCCTGGGGGTGGTGCGGGCAGCATTTCGTTTCCATTGTACACGGGGCCTCCATGAGATGGAGCTAGCTTGAGGGCAGCTAACAACAGCGACAATGGGAGGAACGCCGTGTATGAGCTGTACCAGTGACATTGGTAAGGCATTAGGATGGCATAGAGTATAGGCTGAGAGCTGCTCGTGAGGGTGGTTGTGGTCTCAGGGAGTTGTTCCAGGCCCACTCTGCTTGCTTTCCCTCAGTGAAGTACCTCTGGTACTAACTTAGAAGCATATTCTCCCCATAGCTGTGCATGAGAATGTGGTAAGGGCAGGGAGAGAAGCACAGTGCTGGCGCATCCTAAGTCCTCCACGCTGGACCAGTAGCACAGAAACCTAAGGGCATGTAGTGGGAGAAGAGAGAGTTCTGCACAGTGTGAAACACTTGGCTGAAAGTGAAGCCGTTGTGGCTCCAGGATAGATGATTGGGCTTCTTGTTACAGGTTCAGTTCAGGTTTGTACTGGCTTTGCCGCTGCCAGCCCAGCCTCATCAGACAAAAGACACAGATGCTGGGAGTGTTTTCCAGCCAAACTTAAGGGAAAACTCAATCTTTACTTCTCTACCTTGATAATCTGATTATTTCTTCATCTGATTGAAAAATCGTGAGTTATTTATGAGCCACTAGGTTTGGAACCTTCTCTTGCGGAATTATTACATGTTAAAATGTAATTACCATAGATTTGACAAGGTCATTTTGAGCTGCAAGGTCGGTGGTTCAAACCCACCAGCCACTCGCAGAAACCCTATATACGGGGTCGCTATGAGTCAGAACTGACTCTACAGCATTTAACAACAACAACCATAGTTTTCAGCATTGAGAAGAACAAGGACCATATGACAAACTTCAAAGGAGCCGTACTTTGAAAATCATAGCTTAAGTCTCATCCAAGAGTGGAGGCCTGAGTGTGTGTGTATATGTAAGTGAAGACAGCCTGAGAGCGTAAAAATTTGAGCATTTGTTAGTCTGAAGCACTGTTCTCTGGGCCGGATTTCATTCCTGAGGATACGTGTTTAGTTGTGACTTAGGCATGAGAAGGTCTGGGGGTGGGGTGGGGGGTAACGGGGAACCTAATTGTATAGTAACTTAAAACCATGTCAAATATCATTATCCTTAATCACATTAGCTTGACATTCTTCCATTAGGGGGAGAAAAGCAGTTGAAGTGCTATGAAATGTCTTTATGTAACTCCCCAGTCTCGGGGCACTTTCCTGAGGTGGCATGGACACAGGATCCTTGAGCAGGCGTATCTGAGCCTCAGTTTCTTCATTCAACACATTCAGAAGGGCTGGACCTGACAGTCACCATGGTCCCTTTTCAGGTCTACATTCTGTGGCTCTAAAACCTGACTGACAATCTGCCCTCCCCAGAAACAGCATTTAGCTCTTCCTTCAGGAAGCCCCTTGATTCTGAGACTCATCAGCATCTACAGTATTCCCAGGATGAAGGATTGTAGGGGGTGGTAGACAGTGAACTAATTGTCCAGGGGGAGAACCTGAACAAGTGGAGGTGATGTTTCTAGAGGAGCCAGCCGTACATGGGGAGCTGTGGTAGAGAGGCAGGAACCCTGACTCCCTGCCAAATAGCACCCTCACCCAGAACAATAAACCCACTCGTTGTCTCTGTCCTCTGCCTTTTATTTTATTGCATTTGGTACTGTTTACTTTGTGATCACATACCATCCTAGAACTGCTTCTAAAGAATTTTTCACAGGAAAAACTTGACTCTCAAGAGAGATTTTTAAGTAGCTCGAGCCTACAGGTGTGTAACAGTGATAAAAAGTGTGTCATCCTTAAGGGCTGGTTTGAACAAAGAAACTGGTGGCCCTGTGGGTTAGGCTTTGGAATGATAACCACGAAGTCTGTGGTTCAAACCCACCAGCTGCTCCATGGGAGAATGATGAGGCTGTCTCCTCTCATGAAGATTTGCCGTCTCAGAACCGCGTATAGGGTCACTCGCTATGAGTCGGAGTGGAGCAATGGGCCGTGTGGTTTCTCCTGGTCCTCTGAATGGAGCTGTGCTCCGGGGAAAGGTGGACTCTCTGGTGATGTAGTTGAGTGCTCCACTGCTTGTCGAAAAGTTGGCCGTTCACGTCCACCCTGGAGGTTCCTCAGAAGAAAAGTCTCACAATCTACTTCCGGAAATACCTGTGGAGCACACCAGGTCTACTGTAGCACACATAGCACATAACACCACCAGAAGCTGTTGTTGGTACGTGCCATCAAGTCAGTTCCAGCTCATATTAAGGAGCAGATTTTTGTGGGGGTTTTTTTTGTGGGGGTGGGGGAGGGCTGGGTTTGAACCACCAACCATGTGGTTAGTTTATCCTATAGTTTAACCACTGGAGGGCAGTTGGTTCTGAGAAGAGGAAGGTGGGAGTGCACTTGGGCACTTTCTTCCATCCATATACATACTAGCTATGGGTGAGAAGTAAGGCTATGGGCCAGGCAGGCAGTAGTAGGGTGCTGATGTTGGACTCCGGTTCTTCCTGCCTTCCTAGCAAGGTGGACCATTGTTCTTAACTGTTCAACAGTAACATCCTGTTTGAGATTCCACTCCTGGGCAACCTTTCAAGAACCCTGGTGGTTTAGTGAGTTAAGCATTGGGCTACTCACCACAAGACAGCTGGTTCAAAATCCACCAGCTGCTATGAGGTGTTTGCTCCCATACTTAGCCTTAGGAACCCTAAGGAGCAGTTTCTACTCTGCCCCTTAGGGTCACTACAAGTCAGAAAGGACTTGACTACGGTGAAGCCCTAGTGGCACCTGGGTTAGGTGCGTGGCTGCTAACCAGAAATTGACAGTTTGAATGCAACAGCTGTTTCTCAGGAGGAAGCTGAGGCAGCCTGCTTTCCTATGGATTTACAGACTTGTAAACCCTAGGGGGTAGCTCTGGTAGCATGTTGTTGTTGTTGTTGTTAAGTGCCATCGAGTCGGGTCCGACCCATATAGTGGTTACAAATCGGGCAGCTAACCTCAAGGTCAGCAGTTTGAAACTACTAGCTGTTCCACGGGAGAAAGATGAGGCTTTCTGTTCCCGTAAAGATTTACAGCCTTGGAAACCCTGTTCAGGGTCGCTATGGGTAAGAACCAATTCCACGGTACTTAACAACAACAACAACAACAAACCCTATGGAGTCCTGGTGTGGTGCTGTGGGTTAATGTGCTGGACCACAAAGTCGGTTTGAACCATAAGGTCGGCAGTTCAAGCTCACCAGCCTCTCCTAGGAAACCCTATACAGGGTCGCTATGGGTCCAAACCGGCTCGACAGCATTTCACAACAGCACAGCCAACCCAGTGGGGCAGTTCTGCTTTGTCCTGTAGGGTCACTAAGAACCGGAATTAGCTCTATGGCAGTGGGTCTGGTGTCCTGGGCGTGGGCATCCTAGATCCCCCCGAACAATCCCAAGGGTGGCAATGCCGCCATCCACCCTGTCTGTCTAATAACTGTTGCTGGGTGGGGTGGGGCTTAGGGCTGGTTACAGAACACAGTTAATTCCTCTTTTCCCTAAGTGCCCCGCCATTCCACATAATACCCGGCTATAAGAGGATGCCTGAGGGTGGGCAGGAGCCAGGAAGGCCTAACCAGGCAGTGAACTGTGACCGGAGTTAGTACAGAGAGAGAGACACTGCTAACCAGAGCTAAAATAGGCACCAACTCCATTTTCAAACCCCAAAGGCAGCAGAACCACAGAGGGATGCTACCAGCTCAGACAGAAAGTTTATAACTCAAAACAGCTGTTGGCTTCACTCTCTCCTGCTCTGTTCTCCTCCCCACAGGCTGGCAAGGTGCCCGCTGGGCCTTCCTAAATGCAATGGGAATCCAAACTCGTCAAAATGCTGAGTCCATTTTCCTCCACTTCCCTGTGTTTCAAATGAACCGAGTGTTGGTGTACAACAGAAAGGGACACGGAGCCTCTTGTAGCACTTCTGGCTCTTGGTGTGGGTTACGTTGGCACCCTGCCGTGACCAGCAGTAAATCCTCACTCTCTCCAGCACCCCCGCCCCCCACCTAAGCAGAGAAGGCAGCCAGGGGAGAGACCCAGGCTTGCTGGAGCTGGCCTGTGGAATCTAAGGCTAACAGTGTTCAGGGAGCGAGTAGATGGAAAAAGGACACCCCTGTGTGAGGATGCTGCGTGGTGTTGGGTATCTTACTTGGTTATAAGAATAGAACAGAGTGACAGGTTGTAGCTTCTGTGAATAGAGTTAGATGGAAGGGAAGTCTAGGTCAGCCCTGCCCAATGGAAATAGGATGTGAGCCACATGTGTCATTTCAAAAAAGTTAAAAGAAACAGGTGACAGCAATATTTTTTTTGATGGTATCTCTAAATACAATTTCAACCTGTCAGTAGAAAAACTACTACTGACAATATATTTTCCATTCTTGTCCTTTGTCTGAAGTCCAGTGTGTATGTTCTAGTGACAGCGCAT